AACCGACTGTGCCACCCAGGCGCCCCCATCATTTTATTTGGTACTGGAATAGAGTTTGAAATATACTAAGTGACTTCTTAACATGTTAATTTCAGGGATGCTATTACCTTTTTTTTTTTTTTTTTTTTCCTTAAACTATGATTAAAAATACTAGATACTTTAGGGGCACCCGGGTGGCGCAGTTGATGGTTAAGCATCTGACTCTTGATTTCGGCTCAGGTCATGATCTTCCAGTTCGAGGGATTAAGCCCTGTATTGGGCTCTGTGCTGACAGTGCAGAGCCTGCTTGGGATTCTCTCTCTCCCCCCTTTCTCTCTGCCCCTTTCCTATTCTTTCTTTCTTTCTTTCTTTCTTTCTTTCTTTCTTTCTTTCTTTCTTTCTTTCTTTCTTTCTTTCTTTCCCTCTCTCTCTCTCTCTCTCTCTCTCTCTCAAAATAAATAAATAAATAAACTTTACCCCCCCCATACACACAAACAAAACCCAATACTTTACATTTAATTATTTTGTACTTGATTGGTACATTGCTAATATTTTTCAAAGGAATATCAATTTTGTTGAAACTAGAGCCCAAGTGTTTTAATTTTCTTATCCTGGTCTCTTTGTTGTACCATACTACTGTAAAACGATCAATCTTCATTAAGTCCTAGGTCACTTTTTATTTAACCTGGCCAAAACAATGTTCTCTAAGAGCCTTATTTCAAATATCTAATTTTGTAAAGAGATTTGAAGGCAACGTTATAGCTACTCTTCTGTTTTCTCTGAGCTAGGTCATAGGTTAAGGAGGGGAAGAGAGAAAGAGTTCAGAAGTTTGAGTAAAATCGTAGAGGCACTTGGGTGGCTTAGTTGGCTAACTGACTTCAGCTCAGGTCATTATGTCACAGTTCATTAATTCGAGCTCCACATTGGGCTTTCTGCTGTCAGTGTGGACTCCACTTTGGATCTTCTGTCTTCCACTCTCTCTCTGCCTCTCTCTCTTTCAAAAATAAATAAAGATTAAAAAAAGAAGATTAAAAAGCCCACAAAAACTTTTTAAAAAAGTGAGTAAAATGGTGAAAATTTAAAGTAGTTTTTTGTGGAGTATGAGCAGGGTCTCAGAATTAATCAGACAGTGTAGAATGAAATTTTCTAGTAGTCACATTTTAATTAATTAGTTAATTGATTTTTAAGTAGGCTCCACGCCCAATGTGGGGCTCAAACTCATGACCCTGAGATCTAGAGTCGCATGCTCTACCAACTGAGCCAGCCAGGCATGCCCCATAGTAGTCACACTTTTAAAAGTAAAAAGAAGTAAAATTAATTTTAACAACATATTGTATGTAACCCAACAAATCCAAAATGTTATAATTTCAATATGTAATCAATATAAAAACTGAGATATTTTGCCCTTTTTTAGATTTAGTCTTCAAAATTTATTATGTTATGTTTTGGCAGCACATTTGATTTTGGACTAGCCACATTTCAAGTATCCATCAGCTACATGTGGCTAGTGGCTATCTGTTGAAAAGTGCAGTTCAAAAGTAAGTAAAAAGTAATACATTTTGAGCTGCATAGATACTGTCATCTGTTATTTACATGAATATATTATTTTTTCTAACAGTTTTTGAGGATAAGGCAATTTATTTGCTAGACCTGGCTTGATGAACTCAAGGGAAGTTGATACATTAAAAAAAAAAAAAAAGTGAGATCCAGTTAGAAGGAAGTTTATTCTACAGGAGGAGGCGGTGCCAATACTAAATTTAATACAGCATCCTATATAGATACATCCACCTTGCCATATGAAAGCTATGTACAACTGTATATATCCTTTAAAAGTATAGAAAGGGTAGTATATTACATACAGCATTCTGTATCTTGCTTTTTTCCCACTTAATATACCTTGGAGCTGCTTTGTTGTTTTTAAAGTCTATATTATATTCCATTGTATGAATGTACCATAATTTATGTAGCCAATTTGCTATTTATAGTTGTTTTCAATATTTTGCCCTTAGAAACAGTGCCATAATGAATATCTTTGTATATATGTGTTGAATACATATGTGAATATCTGTAGAATAAATTCTTACAAGTGAAATTTCTGGTTTAAAAGGTAGGTATATATTTCTTATTTTATAAATATTGCCAAATGCAATAGAAGTTATGCTAGTTCACACTCTAGTAGTGTGAATAAACTTTTTCTTAAATAGAACTGATTCTCTGAACTGAGTCTTAGTAGAAAACAAAATTTATAGATTTAAAACATTTTAGGGGCGCTTGGGTGGCTTCAGTTGGTTAATCACAGGTCTTTGGCTCAGGTCATGATCTTGTAGTTTGTGAGTTCGAGACTTGCATCAGGCTGTCTGCTCTCAGCACAGAGCCTTCTTTGGATCCTCTCTCTCCCTCTCTCTCAGCTCCTCTCCAGCTTGTTCTTTCTATCTCTCAAAATAAATAAATAAACTTTAAAAAAGTGTTTTTATTGTGCTATTCTAATAGAAGAGGCATAGGTAACCACCCTTTATCTTGAGATGATCCTTTTTTTTTTTTTTCCTTTTAATGTTTATTTTTGAGAGAGAGAGACAGTGCGAGCAGGGGAGGGGCAGAGAGCAAGGGAGACACAGAATCCCAAGCAGGCTCCAGGCTCTCAGCTGTCAGCACAGAGCTCGATGCGGGGCTCAAACCGACAAGCTGTGAGATCGTGACCTGAGCCGAAGTCGGAGGCTTAAATGACTGAGCCACCCAGGCTCCCCTTGAGGTGATCCTCTTGAGCTACCTCAGAGGAACCCCTCAGGTTCCAGAGTATAGATGGAAAACACTGATTGTAATCCAGCTCCTCTTACTTTATGTATGAAGAAAAGGGTTCCAAAGAGATGGAGCTATTCCTCCAAGACCTCCTAAAAGGAGAAAAATAGGAAAAATAGGAATGGCTCTGAAATGTCTATGAAAGGAATTTCTTAGTGTTCTCTGTAACAGACTGACCTCAATTAATGACTTTTAAAGAATCAGACCTCTTAAAAATAGCACTTGGTGTTTGATTTTGTTTTCATAAGCTTCATGGTTAGTGGAGACCTTGGCAGCTCCTGGCATTGGAGTAGAATAGGGAACTTGATTGATGATGGGGGGGGGGGGGCAAGGGAGAGAGTCCTTGCCTTCACGTTTCTTTTTTTTTTTTTTTAATTATTTTTTTTTAGAGAGTGTGAGCATGAGAGAGGGGCAGAGGGAGAAGAGGGAGAGAGGAGAGTATGAGCAGGGGAGAGGGGCAGAGGGGGAGAGAGAGAGAGAGACAGACAGATAGACAGACAGACACAGACTGAATCTTAAGCACACTCCACAGAGCCCAAAACAGGGCTTGACCCTACAACCTTGGGATCATAACCTGAGCTGAAATAGTCAAGACATTCGACCAGCTGAGCCACCCAGGTGCCCCTTTGCCTTCATATTTCTGATGTGGCAACAACTGATCTGAAAAGCAAAGGGGCAAAGACTCAGCTGAGGAGGATGAGGTGGTATAGGAGAAAAAAATCTAGAGTGCCTAGTCCAGTGCCTGGTCCATTGTAGCTGCTAGTTATGCTAGTTCTGTGTTAGTGGAAGTATAGATTGGTCTAGCCATTTTGGAAGGAAGTAATCAGATTATACATTATGTGTACTCCATGATCCAGAAGCTCTTTCCCTAGGTGTATATCTGAAAGAAATTCTCACAGTACATAACTGGTTGTTCATTACGGTGTTACATGTTTATGGAAAATGTACTTGTTGTCCTTCTCTTTCCCCAGTGATGGGTAAATTAGGATAGATTTCTACCACTAAGAATTATCTAGCAATTTGAAGCAGTGGACTACATGTGCACAGGCAATGTGATGTCTCTTAAAAACATGATGCTGAATAAAACAAAGAAACAGACTGGGATATGTAACATAATAGCATTTATATAAATTAAAAAATGCATTAAGTAAAACACTGCACAGTTTGTAAGAAAACATGTGAACACGTAAATATATTACAGTGACTGCCTAAATTGAGGGCTAATGGGAGTGGGATAAAGGAGAATAAATAAAATAAAAATATGTAAGTGTAAAACTTCATTTCTCTAGTGAAGTGATGTTGGAAGCATCTACTAGTTGACTAGGAGGATATCTACAGACCACTACCCTGTGTCTCCCATTGTTATTACCTTTGACAATAATTCTTTCTTTCTTTCTTTCTTTCTTTCTTTCTTTCTTTCTTTCTTTCTCTCTTTCTTTCTCTCTCTGTTTCTTTTTCTTCTCTTTTCTTTTCTTTTTAAATGTTTATTTTTGAGAGGGAGAGAGAGAGAGAGAGAGAGAGACAGAGTGCAGGCTGGGGAGAGGCAGAGAGAGAGGGAGACACAGAATCCGCGGCAGGCTACAGGCTCTGAGCTGTCAGCACAGAGCCTGATGCGGGGCTTGAACTCGAGCTGTGAGATCGTGCATGACCAGAGCCAAAGTTAGACGCTTAACCAACTGAGCCACCCAGGGGCCCCAGGATAATATTTTCTGATAATAAATTATCGTTGGAACATTTTTGTTGTTAATCTAGCTATACTTAAAGTGAGTGTTTGGTATTCGCGTTTCTGAAATCTTCCTCTTTTTTTAGCCTTTATTTCCTCTTCACTTTTTCTGTTACTATATGTTCTGTTTGGTTGTTACTTAAATACAGAATATACTAGCCTCATTGTTTATATCTCATTTAGATACTACGTATATTACCAGCACTATATGTTGTCATTCTTAGAAGATGATACTGATACTTAGTGATGAGTCATATGAGATATTTTTCAGTGTCCTCTTAGATAATGGCTTTTTTTTTTTTTAATTAAAGGAAGGGAAAAAATACTTGGAATAAAGAACTGACTAGTTTGATCCATTACCCTATATAAAACTTATGTTATTTATCTTGCTTTTCCTAAGAATCTCTGCTTAGGACAGATAAAAGTACTGACTCCTAGAGAGTTCCCTGAGGTAGCAGTAAGATCTTGGGTAGAATATCATATAAGAAACAACACCCCCTACCTTTTTGCAATTTTTGTTGCTAGAACTACTCTTCTTTTTGTAGGTCACGAGCTTTTGAGTAGCCTGAGTTTGGGGTTAGCCTTAATTGAGGTTTTGGTTGTTAATGTGTACCACCCAGTCCGGTGCTCCAGATTAGCAACTGGAGAAAGGAGCTGTGATGGAATTAAAGTAACCTTGGCAACCATTATAATGTAAATGAGCCTTCTTGGGAAGGAAGTTGAGAGCGTGGGCACTTGTTAGGGCATTCCTTTCAGCTTTTCAAGTAGAGCTGACTAGCATTTTGCTATTTTAAAATCCTGGTGTAGCTGCTCCTCAGACACCGTCAGATCAAGTTCTGTGCCATTCTAGCCTTTTTGAGTTTTCTGAGAAGCTAATACCATGTTTTAATAAGTATATAAAGCAAAATGAATCTCAAAATGATGTGCTTATGCTCTTCATACACGTGAAGACCTCTTTTTCCTTTGCTAACATTGCCTTTTTCTCATTGCCTTCTGCCACTAGCATTGCAGCAGCTCTGCCCCAAATCTCTGATGCACAAAGGAAGCCACTTAAGTTTCCGGAGAAACAGTGTGGTGTATACCTAACAGACCCTGTGGCCAAGATTTAGCTTATGATAGAACTGGTAATGCCAAGGCTACAACTTAAGCAGTATAAAAGAGACAAATCCTCAGTTTCAAATCTTAATTTTTTTGTTTTAGCCTTTAGGCTTTAAGAAAAAAATTCTTACATGTTTGGAGTTTTAATGCAGGCTTACTCTTTGTGGATTTAGAGATTGGATGATGAGGGGAGTAACAAAAGTGAAACCAAAATTATGACCAAACTGGGGTTGAGTTGCTAAATTAAGTACTATACTTGTTTACCGCCTCCCTGATGAGTCCAGTGGTTTTAACAAAACTTGTGAGTGAAAAGCTTGGGTTTCTTATTGAAGGTTAACCATTGTTATGCTGTTGGTGCTGAGCAAATAGCTTCCATCAGCCTCGGTTTTCACTTTGTAAAGAGTGAAAACAAGGACTCTTTCCATTATGGGGAAATATTTACAAACGGAATAAAATAGAACTAGTGGTATGATCAAGGATATCATCTGATGTAAGGTAAATTCTAAAATTTAGGGTAATATGTCTCACATATCCTCCGTAGCTTCTTTCAGTTAAGGCTTTTAAAACATATTATTAGTTCGGGGCTCCTGGGTGGCTCAGTCAGTGGAGTGTCCAACTTCGGCTCAGGTCATGATCTCATGGTTTGTGGGTTTGAGCCCTGTGTTGGGCTTTGTGGTGACAGCTCAAAGCCTGGAGCCTGCTCAGGATTCTGTGTCTCCCTCTCTCTCTGCTCCTCCCCTGCTCACACTGTCTCTCTCTCTCTCTCTCTAAAAAATAAACATTAAAAATTTTTTTTAAAGAAAGAAAAAAATGTTGTTATTTTGATTTTTAAGTCTTCTTCCTTCAACCTTACCTTTTTGTTGAGTTGTCATTCATATCACCTCAGATAACCTTTTATAACAACTGTCTTTGTTGGCTTAGCCATCCATCAACAGGTAAGTTGATCTTGAAGTTCAAATATCTGAGCATTTATTATATGAAAAGCTTGAAACTGTGTGCATGGAGAATAAGTTTAAAATATGTAAAAGCATAATTCCTACCCTTTAATAGTCATTCAAATACTTGGAAACAGCTCTAAATGTTCCTTTTCCTGCATCAGAGCTTCTCTGTGGAAATCATTCCTGATTCTCTTGGTCGTTCTTTTTTTTTTTTTTTTTTTTAATTTTTTAATGTTTATTTATTTTTAAGACAGAGAGAGACAGAGCATGAACAGGGGCGGAGCAGAGAGAGAGGGAGACACAGAATCCGAAGCAGGCTCCAGGCTCTGAGCCATCAGCCCAGAGCCCGACGCGGGGCTCGAACTCACGGACCGTGAGATCATGACCTGAGCCGAAGTCGGACGCTTAACCGACCGAGCCACCCAGGCGCCCCTCTTGGTCATTCTTCATATGATTTAGTTTGCCAGCCTTGTTACCACCTTCCTGGTTATCCTTTTCTAGATTTATTATATATGGTTAGTGTCACCTGTAAGAGGTCATATACCGAATCATGATTCTAGGATGTTGCTTGACCTGTTGCAGTTTTCTTCTTTGTACAGGTCACTGTACTGTTATTTTATTCAACGTTTTTATTTATTTTTGGGACAGAGAGAGACATAGCATGAATGGGGGAGGGGCAGAGAGAGAGAGGGAGACACAGAATCGGAAACAGGCTCCAGGCTCTGAGCCATCAGCCCAGAGCCCAACGCGGGGCTCGAACTCACGGACCGCGAGATCGTGACCTGGCTGAAGTCGGACGCTTAACCGACTGCGCCACCCAGGCGCCCCTGTACTGTTATTTTATTAATTGAGTTTGTGTAGGCTTTTTAAGCTGAAACTTCATAATGAAGGCTCATCTTGAACTTAACACTCAATTGTTAAAAAGTAACAACAGGTCCAAAATGGAGTCACTTGTACTAGGCCCACCTCACCAAACCAAGATTTAATTAATATTTAACCTAATTGCAGTTTTGACCTTCCCTAGGAATGTAATCTTAACTGGTCAGTCTGGAATTTTCTAGCCAGCACCAGTAGGGTTATCCTGCTTCATAGACCCTGATTTTCTCCAAAGGAAGGTGACCTTGCCAGAAACAATTTTTTCACTAATGACTTCCTTTTCTCATTCCCTCTCTGCCTCTGAAAACCTTTCCTTTTCTGTAGCTCTTTGGAGCTTCTTTCTATTTGCTAGATGGGATACTGCTTAATTCATGAATTGTTAAATAAAGCCAATTTGATCTTTATTGATCTTGAATTTTTGTTATTTAACACAACTAAATTCTCAAGTAATGATCAACTAATGTTAAAATTAATTTCTTACCAGCATTATACTTTTTTTAAATAACTATATTTACATTTATCCTTCATAAATTTCGTTTTGTATTTTCAGTCCATTGTTTTTATCTCTTCAGATATTTTTTATTTTGTTGATTGTGTCTTTCATGGCATTATCTAATCTTCCTAGCTTTATATTACTAGCAAAATATATAAACTACCTCTTAAATCTTCAGCGTGTTGATAAACATCTACCACAGCAAGGCCAAATAAAGAGCCTTGCTAACATTAGAGCCTTCCATCCAGATTGATATTAAGCCATTGATTAATAATGTGAGGATGGTTGTTTAACCAATTTTAAAACCATTACCTGACTAGCATGAGAAATCTTATCTTGATTTCAACAAGATGTATTTGACCTACTCTATGTTATTTATCTTATCTTTCAGTCTAGTAATTTTGCCAAAAATAAAATTAGGTCAGCCTGATTTTTTTTCTTATTGAGCCAATTCTGGTTTCTGGTGCTATCTATACCCCTTCCCTACCCTGCAAAAATCTGGCATAGAATTTTGCTGGGACTCTTTGGTAAACTCTTAATCTGTAGTTCTGAGAATTTAGTCTCTCTCTTTTTTCCTTTGAAATTGAGGAAATTGAAATAGAATTTTGTTTCTAGTCTTCTAGCTTCTTTTCTATTTTCCATGAGCTATCATGGAGATCTCAATGTTTTAGGCTATAATTTATTTGGTTCTAGAGATTTGAATGTACTAAAAAGTTACTGGATGCTCTTTTGTTATTTTTTCTTCTGTCTCAGACTTCAGTTTCCTCTTAAACATGTGTGTTCTGCTCTTTCCAATCTGGAAGATTATTCTTGAAGAAGAAATATAGAAGCAAAATAAGAGTGGAATAGGTTTGATTTTCTGTAGCATCTTTTAACATAATGTATGTTAAAAGGTCTGTATCATCTTTTTGTATCCAACTTTGCTGAAAAAAGACTCTATATTAGCACTGTATAAGCTTATATTGATCCTCTGTTATGTGCCAAGTACTGCATTAGATTCTTGGACTCAAAGATGAGTAAGACATGGTCTTGTCTCTTAAGGAATTCACAATATAGTTGAAGAGATACACATTTATATAAATAGCACGATAATTGCTAATAGAGGATGTTTAGAATCCTGTGATGGAGCAATCAGTTGTATTTAAGGTAGTAGGTTTATATGAACCTCCACAGAGGAAGCTCTGTTTAAGTGTATTCTTTTTTTTTTTTTTTTTTTTTTTTTTTTTTTTTTTTAGAGATAGAGAGCTCAAGTGTGAGCAGAGGAGAGGGGCAGAGAAAGAGAGAGAGAGAGAGAGAGAGAGAGAGAGAGAGAGAGAAAATCTTAAGCAGGCTCCATGCCCAGTATGGAGCCCAACTCAGGGCCTAATACCATGCATGACACTGGGATCATGACCTGAACTGAAATCAAGAGTCGCATGCTTGACCGACTGAGCCACCCAGGTGCCCCAGTTTAAGTGGATTCTTAAAGGAAGTATGGACATTTTGGGTGGATTGGGATGTTACTGGAGGAAAAACTTTTTTTTTTTTTAATGAAGAACAGCATGTATAAGTAGATGGAGGGTAAGGACCAACATGATGGAGAAATCTTAAAATAATCCTATAGTATGGTTGCAATATGGAATATAAAGGGGAGTCCCAGGAAATGAGGCTGGAGAGACAAGCAGGATCATATCAGAAAGAGCCTTTATACTGTGATAGAATTTGGACATCAGTAGGCACATGGGTGTCACTGAAGGGTTTTAAGCAAGGGATGTGATCAAAACTAGCGTCGTCAGAGTCCTTTTTTATGCTATATAAGTCAGTTTAGGCTAGGTTATATTGTGCCAACAAACAATCCCCCAATTTTATTTTATTTATTTATTAAAAAAAATTTTTTTAATGTTTATTTTTGAGAGACATACAGGGCAAATGAGGGAAAGACAGAGAGAGGGGGACACACAGAATCCCAAGTAGGCTCCAGGCTCTGAGCTGTCAGCACAGAGCCTAACGCGGGGCTCCAACCCACAAGCCACAAGATCATGACCTCAGCCAAAGTCAGACGCTTAACTGACTGAGTCACAGGCGCACCAACAATCCCCCAATTTTAGTGGCTTATAATAATAAAGGTTTATTTTTTGCTAATGCTGCATTTTTATCTTGCAGCCCATTTCTAGGACCCAGGCAAGAGATGCACCTCTTGTCTAAGATATTAACCTTGTGATACAGGGAAATGAGACATTACTCTGAAAGCTGCTACTCAGATGTAAGATGTGTAATTTCCTCATATTTCTTGGTCTACA